AGTACATTTAGGGTTCCATTTGCAACAATTTTTCCTTTTCCTCCATCTCCAAAGGTAACATATCCTTCATCTTTGTAACGTATGTTCTCTAAATTTTCTTGATTTCCAGTCATATGCCTGGAACATCCACTGTCAAAATACCATATATCTTGCTCCTTGTTTGTTTTGGAGGTGTATGCAACATTTTGATCTTTTCTTACCCAGACTTTCTTGCTACTATTTTTGTTGTGTGGTGGCCAAACTCTGTTGTTTTGTCTGTAGTAATAATCATTTTGTCTTTTGTAGCAATGTGCTTTGATGTGTCCTAGTTTGTGACAATAGTAGCATCTTATTCTTCTTCGATGTCGGAAGTGCTGTTGCGACACTTCCTGTATTTCAGGTTGGTTATTCTCACTGGTGTTCGTGCTTGGAGTCCTGGGTCTTTCGGTTAGCCCTTTGATTTCTTGTAGTAGTTTGGCGTCATTGTTTTTGAAGTCTGACAGTTCTTTTTGAGCTTCTTCGTATTGTTTCTCCAATCGTTCTTTTTCATTTTTTAAATAATGATTATCTTCCATGAGTTCCAAATTTTTCTTGACGATTTGTTCCCACTTGGCGTTTAGTTGAGTATATGCTTCTAGTAGCTCTTGCGTATCATCACTATTGTTGTCTTCATGACTAGCAGTGAAGGCTACGAAGTTTGTGTTGTTGTCATCTTCTTCACTCTCTGAGTCATCACTCAGAGTTGTTATATATGTCTTGTTTTTTCTTTTCAGGTATGTGGCACACTCTGATTGAATGTGTCCAAAGCCTTTGCATTCATAGCATTGTATTCCTTCTGTAATTGTATTATCTCTTCTCTTTGGATTGAATGGTTTTTGATTTGCAGAATTTCCTTGGTTGTTTGAAAGATTTTTATTTCTCGACTTGTTGAATTTTTTGAGAACTCGGTTAAAATTCTTTGTCAATAGAGCTATTGACTGTTCCAAGGTTTCTGAATCAGTTTCTGAGTTCTCTTCTTGTCTGGACTGTAACGCTATTCCTTTACCATTGTTTTTCTGATTTTGTAGCATCTCAAACTCATAGGTTTGAAGATTTCCTATTAGGTCACTAAGTCTGTATGTATTCAGATCTTTATTTTCTTGAATAGCGGTGACTTTCATTTGGAATCTCACAGGTAGTGAGCGTAGTACCTTTTTGACAATTCTATGTTCGGGTATAGGTTCGCCTAGGTTGAATGCATCTCCAGATATACTTAATACTCTGGCACTGAATTGGGTGATGCTTTCTTCCTCTCCCATTTTCAGGTTTTCAAATTCGGTTTGTATCATCTGAAGCTTAGATTGTCTTACCGTTGTGTTTCCCTCATGATGATCGCATAATATACTCCACGCAATTTTGGCTATGCATGTTGATGCAATTAGTTTAAAAGTGTCTTCGCTCACTGCTCCATATATTGCATTCATAGCCTTTGAGTTGAAGTCATATTCAGTTTTCTCTTCTTCGCTCCAATCAGTTCTAGGTTTTGCATTACCTTTATCATCAACTGGAGTTTTCCATTCGTTTTCTATTGCATTCCAGACGCCTTCTCCTTGCGCTAGAATATATATCTGCATTCGAGCTTTTCAATAGGAGAAGTTTGTGCCAAGTAGAGCCGGGGGTCTATTGTTTGAAAGACCTTCTCTTGGGAACTCCATTTTGGATCCTGCTAGTAACTTGAGCAGACCTGCTCTGATACCAATTGAAACAAATATAGATGTTGGATACGTGTATGTTGAAACTGACGTTGCGACACAATAAATTTATAACGCAGTTCGGGCAAACAACCCTAAACTGCGAGGCACTTCTCGAATTGAGAATTTGCCTAAATCCACTAAAAGCTTGATATTCAAAGTACACTTGGTTTAGGGAACGGGGATTACACAATATGATGTCCTATCAAACTACTGTAACCTAAACACTTGTACTACTTTTCAAGGGGATTTGAGTATCTCTTCTCAATGACTCTCGTGCTCACAGTTAGGTGTTGAAAGCGTAAAAAACTTGTGATTGAGAGTGGCTTCTTTTATAGGATCAATATAACCTTAGTTTGTGTGTGAGTAGGTTATTAATCCTAATCGAACTTGGATTATGATATCTTCTATGATTGGGACATGATTTTTGCCACTACTGTTTTGACAATTCATTCTAAAGTCAACAGTTTGGTTTCAAAGGGCACTTTATGATGTTGTGACATGATTTTGTACAGAATGTATGTGCAGTGAAGAGGAACATGTTTTCTTGAAATATGGATCCCATCTTTTGGAAATTTGTTCTACAACTGTCTTATGTTTGGAATTTTCATCTACACCTTTTTTTCCTTAACGTCGTAGGCATACCAAGCATTAGTTTGAACAAAGGAGACAAATGTGGTTCCCTATGAGTCATAGGCCATTCATTTGGACCAGCCATTGGCTTGATAACAACTTCATACACTTTCAAATATGTCTGAATCAAGTAACACTTTTCAACATAATCAATGACATCATGTTTCTTCATCCAAATGGCACAAATGACATACTTACAGGGGATTCCAGTAAGATCCCATTTTCTGCAAGAACATGTTCTCTTTCCCAATGTGCATTTCTGTTATCTCAAACAATGGTAAGTCACATTAAATATGAAAGTATGATCCTACATACTTCTTCTCTAGTGAAATTTTCCTTAGGATTCTAGGACATATTCTGCCAGTCCATTTGCTTGATCTTGTTTGTTCTTAAATAGTCTTAGCATTAGAATTGTCTTCATCTTCTCCAAACAACTAATTAATGGATAAGACCTAAACCATTTAGAGGGGTGTTTGTCTCCGAGCCATTCAAATGCATTGGCATCCAATTCTTTCATCTTCCTCATTACTTCTGTAAAAGAATTAACAGTTATGGCTCTAGCTACAACCCACAAAGTCTCCTTTATTGCTTTTCCCTGGGATCCAGTAACCTTCATGTTGGAATATAAGTGCCTTACACAATACATATAACTCACATGTGGGAGAATACTTTGAAATGCACGAATCAAACCCTTTTGCTTGTTAGACAAATTTGAACCTATGTTGCTCAGACTCAGAAATACCTAGATCATGTTTAAGCAATGCTAAAAACCAGGACCATGACTCCTTATTCTCACCCAAAGCAAGTGCATAAGCATTTGGCAAAATACCATCATTTGAGTCCATTGTTGTTGCTGTAAGTAAGTACCCCCATATGTAGACCTCAAGTAGCAACCATTAACACCAATGATCTTCCTACAATGCGCAAATCCATCTCTACAAGCCTCCCAACATATGTACCATCTCAAGAATCTCTTTTGACCCCCCTCTTCTATAGATTCACTCATTTTTATAATTGAAGTAGTCTTTGGATTTGATCTTTGGATTTCAAGGTAGTAGTTAGAGCGGTCAAAACGAGTTTTTCCCGCCCCCTACTTAGGTATATATATAGTTGAGTTCAAATGAGGACTACTCTATTATAGAGGACAGTGCGGACTGGTGTAGTCATGTGCCATTAGTCTGTATGTCGTGTGTCTGGCCTAATGTAGTCGTGTGCCACAATTTGTATATCGTGTGCATAGGTTTGTTAATTAATAGAGCCTGAGTTTGAAACCTGATGTTTACATGTATTCTTGTGTGCCATTGTGTATTAAATTATGTGCATGATACTAATTTGCTGTGTGCCCGTAATCCGTCCGCACAGTCCTCTATATATTGTGGTCCTCATGTGAACTCAACCCTCATCAAAAAGATTTTACACTTCTATTTTCTAGTATTGATTTATGAATTCTTAAATAAAAATAGAGTTAATACCTCCAATGGTCCTCCGAATATTAGGGTATTATCAGGTGTGGTCCCCCGACTTTAAAGCGACCAGTAAACGTCCTCCATGTTTTAAAAAGTTACCACCCGTGATCCTCCTTTAGGTTGTCTGTCAAAGGGGTGTTAAGTCAGAGGGTAAAGTTGTTCTTTGACCATTAATTCCTTCCTTCCTTCTACGTTGACCTATATTCCCCCCCCCCCCCCCCCCCACCCACCCCCAAAAAAAATCGAGTTTTCTTCCAAATTATAGAACTTCTTAAGCTCGATTTATAAGCATTAAAATAGTAGAGCTATTCGCAAGGTTGGTTGGCAGGGTTCCGTTGTTCAGGTGTGCGCAACCCCATTCTCCATTCAGTGGAACTATTGTCGATTGGTCAAAGGTCGTGACCGTAATCACTGACGTCAAAGTATCGAGCACCGCCTTCGCTCACGTCGTGTATAAAAGCACGTGGAGTTCTAAGGTTGGGGACATTTTATGAAGCCAAAGAAAAGCCATAAATTTTGTTAAAGTTAACATCTCTGCATTACATCCTTTCACTAGATTTAGCCGCAGCTATCCGACAAAAAGAATGCATCGTCGAAGCTCAGGTGACGAGTTTATCCGATGCCTCCATTGTTGTTGCCAATGACCTTTACCACTGCATTAGGGCTATCTGATTTGGGGTTAAAAAAATTGCGACCTAAGATTGCTGTAAACGAAGGCTTTAAAGAAGAAATAATGGTGAAAGAACAGCTTTGCTCTTTGACTTAATGTCCCTTTGACAAAAAACCTAACATAGGACCACGGGTGGTAACTTTTTAAAACTTAGAGGACATCTACTGGTCGTTTTAAAGTCGGAAAACCACGCCTAGTAATACCACAATACTCGGAGGACCATTGAAGGTATTAACTCATAAAAATAAAATAAATATTTTTCTTGTTTAAAATGAGGAACAATAAGAAAATGAGAATTAATGTTTATTTTTAATTGTAAATTCTTAAGCAAAAAAATAAAATATATTTTCATATTTTAAAAGAGGAAAAAATAAACACAGTATAATTTATTTGAAAACACTCTCTTAGTTGAGCCTGTGGCATAAGTCTTCCTAATACACAATACACACTCTCAAGTCACTTCGAGTTTCCCTTGTCAAAAAAAATAAAAAATAAAATAAAAAATAAAAAAAATAGGGCAACTGAACCAGAAAACAAAAGCACCCTTATTACAGAAACAGCCCTTCCATTACATGAACTTGTTCATTTTAATGTATTCACCAATACCAGCATTAACATTAGATAACAATACTTGTAAACAGAGTACATAGCTTTTACAACTGAGGTCAATCTTTTCATCCTCAATCCCCACTGGGGTCTTTATTTTCAACTTTGTATTCCTCACATGTCAGCTATACACCCATCTCATGCACCTACTAATTTCCTGAAGATGGTTTCGCATACACTCGCGTTGAAAATAATCAAATGCCCTCCGTCTGGAACCTCGTGGTACTGAATCCAGGGGAGTTGCTCGGATATATAGCGATTCGCTACAGCCGGGATGATTTTATCTTCCTGACCTTGCCAAATGTGGACAGAGCCCTCATTGTTGGGAAATGGATTGATTAAATCCAATGGACTGAATTCCCATTTTGCATAACCAACCATTATGTCTCGGTATAGTGATTCATAAACACCCTGTTGCCTTAGTCTTTCCTGCAATGCAAATCAAAATTTTCTGAATTTTGAGCCATTTGCTACAGCTAACAGAAGCAATGTACTGTTTATGCTGATACTGTGTATACAGATCCAAAAACCGTAAACTGTTCATGCTTTTCCAAAGAGATTCTTGCATGGGTACAAGTTCTTAGCCACGCTAGTTCACAAAATACTCGTAATAAGCACACACAGTGAATGCGTTGTTCTCAGTAGACCGAAATGCACTGTTCCATGGTGACAATGCAAGATTTTTTCTGGTTTCTACAACTATGACACGATTTTTAATAATCAGTGTGATGAAATATTTTACCCTGGTGGAAAATTTTCAAGCATGACACCAATACATATACTCATATAAAACAGAACAATGGACTAAAGGTCACAGTTATATATATTCTCAGGATGAACAAAATATGTAAGATGCAAATGAACACAGGCACAAAAGTTTAGATCAATACCGAGTAGTGCAAAATATTACCGGATGAGATGCACAAAGAAAAAATTACAATAAAATAAAATAAAATTACCTGATTGTCATTAGGGGGGCCTTCCATTAGCTGCTTTATGGTTTCCAGATCTTGGGGGCAGAAAATAGCCATGTTCCCTTGCAGAGCACTTAAAGAAGGAAACCATTTTTGAGTCATCCACCAATAGAACAGCCATGGAGCATAATGCGCCATTTTGAATGTCCATTGGTCTTGTATGAGTTGTTTCTGCAGGGCTTCTTTTGATATTTTAGCGGGAAAATGAGGCCACCAGTAGTGGACAAACGGAACTACAAGTGAAGCTCCAGCCAACCTGCAAATTGTATTTAGAATATCATCACGAACAAAATTAATATATCTGCAACTTGTACTCTGAAATGAGACATTTGATAAAGCATTTCAAAGCCAATAATATTAAAAAAACAAACATATACCTGTGTGGTATGTACTTTAGGCAACTGTAAATGATATATGCTCCCATCGACATGCCAATCACGTAAAACTTAGGTCCTACTTGCAACTTGTCAGCCAGTTCCTGAATATCAAATGCTTCGCTCTTTACGCTCCGCCTTGGATATGGATCGCTCTCTCCGTATCCTGCCCGATCATATGACAAGAGATATATTTGGAGCTCTTCAATGAGGTCCTGACAATGAAAACCAGAGAAGGGAAGAAATAAGAAATTTTAGATTTTTTCTTTCTTTCTTTTAAGCAATCATCATTTTGAATAACCTAGAGCCATACTGGATAGAATCCTTTCCTAAAGAATATAATGATGAGAATTACAGTAGTCTCATATGTTTCAAGCACATCAATCTATTTACCTTCTCAGTTCTCATGTAATTTGACGAATGAACCCTAAACTAAGCCACGATAATTTACCAAATCATTATTTGATCTTTTTTGACAGTTAGTAGTCAAATCCAAGCATATCAATACGTTCAAGGTGAAGCTAGGAGATTATCATACACAAATTCATTTATCTGTTGAGGATTGTTTTATCCAAGGTTATCAAGGCGGACTTTCTAGGCGAGATGCCACCAACTGCCTAGTCGACTAGTCGACTAGGCGACCGCCTAGGCGATGACTAGGCGATGAGTATTAAATAAATAAAATATATAAAATATATACATATATATTGAAAATATCTTGTCTTGGGCAGCCTATTTACTTCAAGTTGCCTTTAGTAGATGAATAGTTTTTCCTAGAAAAATGAGAAGTTTAGTATTTATTGTATATATTGGAAATATCTTGTCTTGGGAAGCCTTTTTGAACCCTATTTACTTCAAGTCATCTTTGAGAAGATGAATAGTTTTTCCTAGACTAGTGAGAAGTCTACTATTTATTGATAACATGTCAGGGTGAGGTAGTGGGCTTTGCTCGGAACAGGAGGACGACGCCGGAGCTCGAACCGCGCCGCCATCGGAGCCTCCACGCGCCGCCGCCGTGCCGCTGCTCCGACGCCACGCGCCGGCGCGTGTGGAAGATTCCGGCGTCTTCTCCGGCTGAAATTTACACCGGTCAACTCACCTTAGTGTGTAGGTTCTGCCCATGTATGTTTTGTGGGGTTTTGGGTTGTATTTTGTACTTAGGCGAGGCGAGCGGACTAGGCGCAAAGCTGTGACCGCCCAGACGCCTAGGCAGCGCCTAGGCGTCGCCTAGATAACCATGGTTTTATCGAATCTCACATAGAAGAGATGGCAGATAATGTTGAAAGTATATATTGAACCAAAAACAGCCATTTAGATCATTATATATCAAATTATTAACTATAACTTTCCTATTTTATATTCTGCAAAACTAAAATAAGACAAACAAACAAACAAACAAAAAGACCACGTTCTGATATTGGCTAGTAAGAAGAACAAGAACTTTGTCAAAGTTCTTTTTTCAAATTGGGGAATAACCAAAAGCTCTCTTATTATCTCTTCCATGTATTCTAACCACACCTGGGCTCTAGCAAATAATATAAGCCAGTATCGTTGTGTCTCATTGCCAAAATCCTTGCCAAATGACAAGGAAAATGGATATGAGTTCTTAACTCTACAAGTTGCAAACTTTAGGTTATTTAACTTACAAACATAATGTTTTACTTCATTATTCAATTCCAGCCATAGTGCCATAACAAAAAAGCATTGAAATTAATTACAGTGACAGAACTTCATACTTGAGAGAGAGGCAACTCCAAATCTTTAGAGTTATCAAAGCCATGGACAATGATGATCTTGTATCTGGCCGTTTCTTTGGGCACGCCTCTCTCTCTGTAAGCCAGATGTCTCCCATCACTGAGTTTGACCCTTGGCGAAATCACAGGAGGACCACCTGGTGAGCCACAAACTTTTGGAGAGGGGGGCTTTATTAGTGCCAGATAAGCCCAACCCAGAGCACCAACTGTTGCTGCAATTGCATATTTATACATAACTGGAGAAATGATGTAAACAAGAGAGAGTGAGGAACATAAACAAGAAATAGTAGCAATAAGAGAGATGTTTTTGACACAAAACAGTGGTTATGGAATTATGTGAGACATGCAATCAAGGCCTAATAACTAAAAAAAAATAAAAAAATAAAAAAATAAAAAAAAAAACTCACCAATAGATTGGAACACAAGCCTATTTTCTAAGCCTTGCCCACTTAAAATTGCTTTGAACACACTATGCAATTGATGAGGTTTCCACCTCCAAATTCATTAACTCATTTCTCAACATCAACACTCCCATGCCCGCACGGGTAACTCAATTGGAGATTGTGAGCAAAGACACTCGATCTATCCGGACAATATGGTGGACTTCTTGTAGGCACCAGGTCCTCCAAGCCCTCTAGTCACCATAATTTACTCCATTACCATTTTAAGTACAAATATCAACGATTTCATTGGAAAAGGCATGAAAACCCTCGGGAAACTTAAACAGATCGCAACCATTTGAATCATAATCAACACTTCACACTGCTGAAGGTTATCAAAAACATTTATAACGAAACGAAGTTTTCCGAGATTAATCGAGAAAACAAAACCATCCAACATAGAAAATCACAGGGATTGATAAATCACTGCCAAGAAGACGAGAAAAGGAGTTCGAACTCACCTGAGTGAAGTAGAAAGGAGGGTGCTTGACTGGGGTTTGACTACGTGAGCTGTGCTGCTCTGCAACTCTGCTGCTAGCAGTTTCAGCGCCCAAGCAGAAGAAGGCACACTGAAGAGCAGCCTTCAATCACCATCACGTTGACTTTGTGAGAAAAGAATAAGATAGAAATAAAGCAGGTATCAAATTGTTTAGAAAAAAAAAAAGTAGTTATTAAATTGTTTGGTGGTGAAGAATAGAATTATTATTGGATAATAAGAAGGAAAGATGTAGTATAAAGACAAAAATCTCATTGTATAATACTAATAAGACAAATGTGTCAAATTAACCTCTAAGTCAATCGAATAGTGCAATTAGATCCCCTAATTAAAAAATAAAATAAAATTCAATCAAATCCCTTAAATTTGTAAAATTATTCAATTAAGTCCCCTAATTGTTTAGTTAACATGTTAAACAAGTCAATTTGAACTTAATTGAATAATTTTACCAGTATACGAGATTTGAATGAAGTTTTTTTTACTTAAAAGGGATCCAATCACACTTTTTAGTTGACTTAGGGGACCAATTTAATCCTTTTTCCTAATAATAATAACAATAATAGAGTTAATACCATCTAGGGTCATCCGAGTATAGTGGTTATGCCACGTTTAGTCCTAAACTTTCAAATTGACCACTCATGGTCCTTCAACTTTCAAATTGTTACTATATGTGGTCTAAGTTAACCACTCGTGGTCCTTCAAATATCATATTTTAACCACCTATGATCCTTTCAGGAGGACTATTTATAGTGTTAATACACGAAGTCCTAAGGATAATCTACGTGGCCTAACTCGAGAACCGACCGGGTACGGTCGAGCAGCTGTGTAACACCCCATGTTACGATCCCTAAAACCAATTAATCATTTAACCAATTACCCAAAAGAAAGAATTAAATCACAATAATTAATTAGGAAAGGCCCACCATAGTCCATGGGCCCTTATCCCTAAACTCAATCCTTAGTCCCAAAAGGAATAGAATTAGCAAGCCTATAATATTAGTTCCTAATTAGGACTCCTAAATATATAAATAGGGGACTTAAGAGGCACCTAGAACCCCCCACCACAATAATCTCTCACCACACCAAGAATTCCAAGAATTCCCCTAGGAGAAATCAAGAAAGAAGAAAGCTTAAAGAAAGACCCTTCATAGCCAAGGAATTAATTAAGGCTAAGAGGTAACACATGTCTCAACAAAACCTATTTTCATAGCTATGTTTCCCCTCTTAGGATTTCCCCATATTATTGTGTATTGATTATTTGTGATATTATTATTGATGATTGGTGGGATGATTCAATGGGTGATCTTGATGAGGAGAGGTTCTTGATAATTATGGTGTTCTTGATGATTATATGACGTTCTTGATAATTATGGTGTTCTTGATGATTATATAACGTTCTTGATAATTATATGGTGTTCTTGATGTTCTTAATGATTATATGAGGTTCTTGATAGTTATATGATATTCCTACCGAATCTCGATTTTGGAAGATGAATTGTGTTCTTGTTAATTTAAAAATAATTAGAACCCTAGGTTATATCGGGGAATTTGTATGGTATTATTCTTGGTATATTGGGTGGGAATTCGCATGATTGGGTGATGATTATGTTTAGAAAAGCATGATAGGTTATGTGCCGTATGTTTCTTGATTTCGATCCATTAATTGTCTATGTGTGCTATAAATTGCGTTTGAAAGTGTCTAAGCATAGTTTCGGGTTCCACAAAGGTTCTCGGGGCGTTTTTGGTGAAAAAGAGTCAGTGGGGGGTAGGTGGGGGTAGGGGACCCGCCACCTACCCGCGGCCAAAAAGGGCAGCTCCGGCAGCGGGCAGCCGACGGGCGGGCAGCTGCCCGCCGGGTATCCGCTGCCCGGAACAGTAACACCGGCGGGCAACCGGCGGGTGAACCCCCACCCACCGGCTACCCGCTGGAAATTCCCACACTTTGGGATCCCGGCTTCCCCGTTTGATGTTCCCCCGACCCCCGTGGTGTCCTAACGGACCCCTCCTATCGTGCCTATGTGTAGTTTGATGTTCGGGTACCGTTCGTAAGTCGAATGAGTCTTGTATATTGCATACTAGTTGAATTGGTATCCCGTTGACCTAGGTATAAGGAATATGAACCCCTTAGGAGTATTCCTAGTTGTGGATGACCACGCATAGGTTTCGTTATACGTTTTCACCCCTTCCCAATGTGTTAATGTGGGTTGCATGTACTTGCTATGTGTTATGTGTGCATGTTACCCCGATTTGGTTGAGATCAATCGGGCTATACGGACAGTCGGATGGGCTGAGAACCATACCGGCTGTTAACCAGGCTGGTAAAGACCGGTCAGGTATATAAATATTATATAGGACTGAGGTCCACTATACGGGCAGTTGAATGGGTTGAGAACCATCCCAACTGTTAACCAGGCTGGTAGAGACCGGTCAGGTATATAAATATTATATAGGACAAAGGTCCACTATACGGGCAGTTGAATGGGTTGAGAACCATCCCAACTGTTAACCAGGCTGGTAAAGACCGGTCAGGTTTATAAATATTATATAGAGCTGCGGTTCATCGATCGGTTGCGATCGACCCCTCCGTATTGTGAGACGGGGCAGGGTGCTGCGGGACCGTGTCAGAGCTATATGCGCTGACCCTCATGTATGGGCATGCGATTGGTCCTGTGGCGCCAACAAAGTGTGCTATATGATGAGATGAGAAGGATTGATGATATGACTGTTATGGAAACGTGACCATAGGGCTCTTGCTAGTAATGCTTAATTATGATTATTGGTTGTGCTTATCTATGACTATTTCCTATGTGAGAATTGTACATGCTTGGTTATGACTGTAGATTGTGTGTACCCCTATTTGTCAAGTCGGTTCCCTGATTTGAAAGCTAGAGTCTCTTAGGATATATCTTCATGCTTCGAAATGACTTTCCGTATATATATATATATATATATATATATATATATATATATATATATATATATATATATATATATATGGTAGGGAATATCCTGACCGACATAGCTTCACCACGACCGAGAAGCCTTTGTCTCTTTCTCTTTGTCTTTGCAGGTAACAGGTCGGGCTCCTTGAGAAGAACCCGGTCGGGGGCCGACCGGGTGTTGCCCCGAGCGACGGTGTCGACCGCCGAGCGGTAGCCCTTTGGCGAGAGAGCTGACGAAAGACACGTGGCGATTCTCTACGACGACAGACAGGGCACCCGGGAGGGCGACACGTGGTGGCTACGTGGAGGACATGCCGAACGGCTGGAATCCTGTCCCCGGCATAGCGGCTATAAATACCCACAGTAGCTACAGTGTAGAGGACTTTTGGACGATCAATAGGTTGTTGTTAGAGAATCCCGACCGCAGTCAGTCGGTACTCAGAGCAACCAAGTAGATTGTACTTAGGGCCTTTACCGTGATCAATAAAGATATTTACTTGCTTTAATTGGTCTCGTGTTGTTATATATTGCTTACGTATAATTAGCAGTATCATTTTGGCGCCGTCTGTGGGGACCCGTGCAAGAAAGCTACGTCTTGACGAGCACTCGGTCTCTATATCAACATGTATCCGTGGGCACACAACAACTTTGCCGACGACCAGGCGGACGCGGCGAGCTCCTCCGACCACTATGCTACCCAACAGCAGGGTCAGACGATGGACCTCAACCTCAACCTCTCACCACCGCATCCATCAAATGCATACCCGGCCGCCCAGCAGCCGGTGAATTACATACAACCGGGATACCCAACACCCGGTCTGCCATACCAGCAGCAGCCGATGATGTATCCCGCCCAGTATCCATACCCGGTCCCACCTCCACCGTATGGGTATTGGCCAGGCCAACCGATGTGCTACACTCCCCCGGTTGGTTATCCACCATATACGCCTGCTTATACAGCTCCAGCCGCCGCCCCTCCAGTACAACCGACCGCACAGGTAGAGCCGCAGCGTCAGTCCGCATCCCGGGCTCGACGCTCGGCTCATTCGCGGTTGGGGTCGGGGGGTGCTGATGCGATGGAGGCACCAGCTCAGGCCGTCCAAGCGGAGGACCCTGAAGAAGTTGCCCGAGCGGTAGCTTTTGATCGTCTTCGATCGGAAATGCGCCAGCGTTTGGGACCCCAAGACCCGAACCGCGGGCAAGAAGACGTACAGATGCAGGAGGCTAGCCAGGAGGCTTCATCTGGGTATAGCGGGTCGAGATCTCACCGACGGCGACGCGCTCGGGATACAGCCCAAGCCGCTCAAGCCGCCGAGCTCAACGAAACCCGAGGATTACTATATAACCTCCAGGCGGAAGTTGCGCAGCTCAGGAATGCGTACCCTGCAACACCCCCGGTCAACCAATCGACCCTGCACCAGACGCCTTTCACGGCAGCGGTAATGGCCCAGCCTTACCCGTTGGACTTAAAGGTCTCTGGAGAAAAGAGTTATGACGGACGGGCAGATCCTGAGGCCCATGTGAATGATTTTTTCAGCAACATGATGCTGAAGGGCGTTTCGGACGCCGTGATGTGCAGGGCCTTCTACTCGACCCTCACCGGTCGGGCGGCAGAATGGTTCCGTACCCTGCAACCGGGGTCGATCGATACATTTGAGACCCTGGCGATCAAATTTGTGAGGAAGTTCATCACTTCCAAAGTGGTGAGGAAGTCCTACATGTATCTCGAGAAGGCCAAGCAATTGGAAGGGGAAAGCTTGACCGATTTCCTCATCAAATGGAAAGCGGCGGTCGGGGAGGTCGAGCCTATGGACGATGCGACCGCCACCCACATGCTTCACATATCTCTCCGGGCGGGACATTTGTATCAGGACTTCATCCTACACCCCCCGACCAGTTACGAGGAGGCCCTTCGGAGGGTCACAGACTATGCCAACGCCGGCGAGGCGAATGCCGTAAAGCGCTTGCAGGAGGTCGGCTCTTCGTCCCGTAAACCGGCCGGCCGGGCAGAACATAGGTCGGGAGATGACAATCCCCGATCCCGCACCAGGCCTGGCGAGTTTACGGCCTTGAACCGATCCGCAGCGGAGGCCATGCAGTACGCCCAGTCCTGCAACCTCATCAAACTCCCCCATCCCGATCGAGACGGCC